CTCCCACCCCGAAGATGACCACTCTTCGGGTGCTGCTGCACATAGCCGCTCAGCGCGACTACGAGCTTCACTCTCTCGACTTCAGCACTGCGTTCCTGCAGGGTAGCCTGCACGAGGAGATCTGGCTGCGCCGTCCACCTGGCTTTACTGGGACTTTCCCTCCTGGCACCCAGTGGAGCCTCCGACGGCCAGTCTACGGTCTCCGCCAGGCACCGCGTGAGTGGCACGACACACTGAGGACTACGCTTGCGGCTCTTGGGTTTGCTCCTTCTACTGCTGACCCGTCGCTGTTTCTGCGCACCGACACTGCTCTGCCGCCGTTCTACATCCTCGTGTACGTCGACGACTTGGTCTTTGCCACAGCGGACACTGCTGGACTCGCCTACGTGAAGTCCGAGCTGCTGAAGAGACACACGTGCACAGACCTGGGTGAACTGCGCAGCTACATTGGCTTGCAGATCACTCGGGACAGAGCACGCCGCACCATTACCTTGACTCAGTCACACATGGTGCAGCAGGTCCTTCAGCGCTTCGGCTTCACGTACTCCTCGCCTCAGGCCACTCCTCTGTCTACTCGCCACTCGCTCTCAGCTCTGTCTTCGGATGAGTCCGTAGAGTCGAGTGGCCCGTACCCAGAGCTTGTTGGCTGCCTCATGTACCTGATGACCTGCACACGACCTGACCTTGCATACCCTCTGAGCATTCTTGCACGCTATGTTGCTCCTGGGAGACACCGACCTGAGCACATGGCTGCAGCGAAGAGGGTGTTGCGCTACCTGTGCAGTACGTCTGGCATGGGGCTAGTGCTTGGAGGGCGCAGTCCAGTGGTCCTTACAGGGCACGCGGACGCTTCTTGGCCTGACAACCAGGCTACGCAGCGGTCGTCACAGGGTTACACCTTGAGTCTTGGTTCCGGCTCTGTCTCTTGGCGGGCTACTCGCTCGTCTTCGGTTCTCAGCTCCAGTTGTGAGGCTGAGATCTACGCTGGGGCCATGGCTGCACAGGAGCTTCGCTGGCTCACCTACCTGCTGACTGACCTTGGAGAGCCGCCTCGTTCTCCTCCAGTGCTGTACGTAGACAACAAGGCCATGCTGGCCTTGTGTCGAGAGCAGCGTCTGGAGCACAGAACGAAGCACATTGCTCTTCGCTACTTCCTTGCTCGTGAGCTGCAGCAGCGTGGACAGTTGCGGCTTGCGTACGTGGCCTCTGAGGCCAACACTACTGATGTGTTCACCAAGGCACTCGCGCCTTGTGACCATCAGCGCCTCTGCACCCAGCTGGGTCTTGTGCCTGTCTTGCCTCACTTGCTCTCCTCTTGACTTTACTTGTACTGTGACATATATATACCTGCTCTTGCTTGTCTAGTTTTATATATATATGTCTGTACTCCTGCATGTGAACTGGCCTCTGGCCCTGCTCTTGTGCTCGGACTGTGTGGTGACGTTGTGATCCACCCTGAGCTTGCTCTGCTTTGCTTTACTTGACTGGTCTTGTGACCCCTTGCTCTCCCCCACTTTGCCTATGGGGGTGTGTCAGATTTATATGACATATTTGCTGTAGGCTATAGTGGGGTAGCACATATGGGGTACAGGGTTTCTAGGGTTGTATTTGTACCCAATCTTTCCTTAGTCATTTCATTCCTGTTCACTTGTTTCACAAACAGCACTGACTACCGCACCAGTACTCATCCTACCGGACCCATACAAGGACTACGTGGTGGAAGCAGACGCTAGTGACCAAGCAGTCGGATCAGTACTGAAGCAAGATCACGGGAACGATTTGCAGCCCATCGCCTACCTTAGTAAGAAGCTACACGGAGCAGAACTGAATTACCCCATCCATGACAAGGAAGCCTTAGCGATAGTCATAGCCTTCAAGGCGTGGAGATGTTACCTAGAGGGAGCCAAGATTACAGTCTATACTGACCACTGCAATCTCAAATACCTGAAGTCTGAGCCAACGCTTTCACGACGACAGGTGCGGTGGGTGGACTTCTTGGAGACCCACTTCCACTACGACATCGTCTACAAACCCGGGCTACACAACAAAGCAGACGCGTTGAGCCGCCCCGGTCATGTAGCAGGCATTCAGCTCGACGGGATGAACACTTTGCTGAAGGGTCTATAACAACATGGTTATTCCGTGGACGCAGAAATCACTACAGCACAGACTAAGAAGATGTTACAGTGGGAGAAAGACTTGGCGGTAAGGAAGGGTTCAGCCTTTACCCGTACCGGAGCAGCCATGGCAGGTCGTTAGTCTCAACTTCATCACAGGACTTCCTTCGACCTCACGGGGGCACGATTCCATCCTCTTATTGATCGATAAGTCCTCCAAAATGGGTCACTTCATTCCGATCAACGCCACAACTGTAGCTGAAGCAACTGCTCGACTCTTCTTCGACCGCATCATCACTTTCCACGGCATCCCCGCTACACTCATCTCAAATAGAGACCCCAAATTCATGAGAAAGGTCTAGAAGGAGCTCATTGGACTGTTGGGGACAAGTCTTCCAATGTCTTCAGCATACCACCCCCAGACTAACGGACAGACAGAGCGACTCAACTAAGTGGTTGAACAGTTACTACGCACAGCTTGCAAAGACGATGTTAGCCACTGGGACACATAGTTACCAACCCTAGAGTTCGCTTACAACAACGCGTCACATGCGGCCACTGGGAAAACCCCTTTCTTCCTGTGTTGTGGACGGGAATCATTTACACCACAGCAACCCACCACACCGGCACTTGTCCAAGCCGCACATGACTTCGTCACCACCATGCAGCAGCTATGGGAGAAGACTCAGCGACGTCTCACCACGATGCAGAACTCCCAGAAGCAGTATACCGATCGCCAGCGACGTGATAACTCAGTAGCAGTCGGAGATCAGGTGCTTCTTGACATGCGCAACTTGAACCTGTCTCACCTACCATCCAAACTCCAGCCTCGCTTCTGTGGTCCTTTTCTCGTTGAGGCACAAGTGACACCAGTTACCTTCCGCTTGCACTTACCTACTACGTGGAAGCTTCACAATGCTTTCCATGTTTAGCTACTAATGCCCTACCAGAACCCCAACTAACAGTTCCAGGGACCGCAGCTACCGCCACCACCACCTGTTCTCATACAGGATGAACCAGAATATGAAGTGGAGCGCGTTCTCACTCATCGGCGCCGCGATGGCAAGACCCTCGAGTTCCTGATACGCTGGAAGAGATGCGACCCCAGTGAGGACAGTTGGGTTGCAGAAGCTGATATGGGCAACGCATGGCATGCTCTCAAGGACTATCTTGTCAAGCAGGGTGTATCTCAGGCCACCCATCTTTGAGGGGGGAATGTGTGAGGGTACGACGGCTTATGCTAGCTTTGCTAGCTTGCGTAGACTTTTTTTATGCTATTACTAGCTTGGGTTTGATTTATCATGCATAGATATGCTTGATTTCCTAGGTTAGGTGCATTCCTTTATTTTATTATAGTTATAGCACCGAACCAGGTTATGTGTACCAAACTCAAGCCTATTCGGTTTCCACCGCATTGCTTTCTACTGAGTTCGGGAAGGTTCTGTCCCGGACGCTTCATGACCCTCCGAAAATTCGCGTAACACCTGGGTAACTGGCCTTGTGTCGAGACTATATATAGCCTCATATTGTACCCAGGTGAATCATCCAATTTCAACTCTCGTTTCTGAGCTCGATCCTAGATCCTCACAACCAGGGACAGTCGCTTGCACCATTACACTCTCATAGTCACACATGGTGCATTAGATCCTTCAGCGGTTGGGGCTTCAGTTTTCCACCACACATCCCACTCGTCTTGCTGTCGACCACCGACTCACCGGCCCTTTTCACGACGAGCCATTTGGGTCTAGTAGTTCCTACTTAGAGCTTGTGGGTTGCCTCATGTACTAGATGACTTGTACTCATCCGGACCTTGCCTATCCCTCCATGGTTCTCTATCGCTTTGTTGGAAGTGGGAGACAGCGTCCCGTGCACTGGATTGCTGCTTTGAGGGTGGCAAAGTACCTGGCGACTACATCAGGCGTGGGGTTTGTGCTTGGAGGGACACAGCCAGTTGTACTGACTAGTCACTACGACTCTTCGTACGCTGACGACGTGGAGACCCAACAGTCTACTTAGGGGTACTTCTTCGGTTTGGGTGCTCGAGCTGTCTCATGGAGGTCTACTCGGACGTCGTCTGTGGCACAGTCCAGCGTAGATGCAGAGATCTACGCTGGTGCCATGGCTGTGCAGAAGCTTTCTTTATTGACTTTCTTGCTCACTGACCTTGGTGAGCGGTCTTGCTCTGCAGCGACCTTGTCGCTCATAACAAGGCCATGATCCTCTTTTGTCAAAAGCCTTGACTCGAGGGCAGGGTGAATCACATCGACGTAGATACTTTTCCCTACGAGAGTTGCAGCGACTCGGCCAGGCTCGTTTGGACTTCGTGGCCTCAGCGGCCAATACAGCAGACATTTTCATCAAGGCCCTAGTGCCTTGTTGACACTGGTGCTACCGTAGTTTGCTGCAGCATTGTTTCTTGTTGCTTGCTCTGCTTGTCCTTGCATCTATATATATTTGTAGACTCTTGAGCTGGCCTTGTGGCTGCTTGTTTTTTTTCGAAGTATGTGGCGATCTTGAGATCCGCCATGAGCGTTGCCTTGTTTGTTGCTTCTCTTGGCTGGTCTTGTGACCCTATGTTTCTTTTGTTTGTTTTGATGCCCCTCACTTCGCCTATGAGGGTGTGTCAAATGTTATACATAATGTTGATAAGCTATAGTGAGTAGGGCTGCAGGGAGTACAGCGCTTTCTAGGTTTAGCATTTGTATCTCCCATCCTACTAGTCATGATCATTCCGCTATGCATCACTCATGAGTGTTTCTACATAATATGGTTACTTGGCGGTGTTGGAAAATCAGGCTAGATCCAAGCCGACTATATATTTATTGGTATGTATGTATTGTTCACAGCGCCAGTCACACAAAGCTGGCAAGTCCAACTGCTGACCTAAGTATCCCGAAAAGCACCAGCTTCACTGATTTTAGCACCAGCGCCGTCAGCAGCATCAATACCAGCAGCAGCAGACGCAGCGAGCTGCTTCTCCAGATAAGCCTCCACCAGCTGCGACCCACACGCACGCTGCACCACAGGCATGGTGGCGGGCGAGTTCAGCCGCACAAACTCTCCCCAGACCCCGCCAGTTGCACTGCCTGCTTGTGTGGTTGGGTGGGCCAACTGGTGGCGAGCAGCGGCAATGGCGTGGCGGATGGCGGAGTGGATGGAGACAGCGAGCAGCAGCGGGGGCTCGCCAGATGCTGATGAGGGCAGAAGGGGGGAAGAGTGGGGGAACATGGCAGATGGGAGAAGGGAGTTAGATGAGGGCCATGATGTGGTGGGTGAGTGATGGGTGGAGACCTGTGCCCCCTCCTGTGTGTTGCTTGCGGTGTTGTGGTACCCAGGTGTGTGTTGTTGCCCTCACAGGTACAATGCTAGGGATGACTACTTGATGCACCCTGAAGGGACCTCATGCTATGCAGTAACGTGGAGGCAGAGAGGAGCAAACAAGGGAGAAGCAGAAGCGTGAGGGCGAAGAGCTAAGGGAGTGGGTGAGAGGAGTGAGAGAGGAGGGAGGAGGTGAGGGTCACATTTGGAAGAGAGCACGCCTTGCTTGTTGGCTGTCCCATGCAGGAGGGAGACGTTGAGCTGACGGGGCACGGTGTCGAATGATGGCACCTTGTATGCCCACGTGCCGTCTGACAGCAGCTTCCCGGTAGCTTCCTCCAGCAGTACCTCTTCCGTGGTGAAGAAGCCCTGCCCCTGCACGAACGCCCCCTCCACCTGGCGGGTGTGGGCAAGAGGGACAGAGGGCGAGCGAGAGCGCGAGGGAGACAATGGAACAAACTTCACCTCCTCCAAAATGAAGTAGCCCTGCCCCTGCACGAGCGCCCCCTCCACTTCACGCATGCGAGAGGGAGGGGGGGGGAGTGGGAGAGGAACAGGGAGAGGGAGAGGGAGAGGGCGAGGGAGAGGGAGAGGGAGAGGGAGAGGGAGAGGGAGAGGGGGAGGGAGAGGTGGAGGGGGAGGGGGAGGGGGAGGGGGAGGGGGAGGGGGAGGGGGAGGGGGAGGGGAGGGGGAGGAGGAGGGAGAGGGAGAGGGAGAGGGAGAGGGAGGGGGAGAGGGAGAGGGAGAGGGAGAGGGAGAGGGAGAGGGGGAGAGGGAGAGGGAGAGGGAGAGGGAGAGGGAGAGGGGGAGAGGGAGAGGGAGAGGGTGAGGGAGAGGGAGAGGGAGAGGGAGAGGGAGATGAGGGAGGGGTAAAACATGGTCGGTGGGCGCGCACACACGCAAACACGTTTCGAAACACGCTAAGCGGTTACAAAATAAGAAACACGATTTCTGGGGAACGTCCAGGAAGTGAAAGGATGGAGAGGTACTTGTGGATGCATGCATGTGGCGTGGCGTGCACACGCGCCTACCTGGCCAATGTCGACAGCCGGGTTGAGGCTGCGCGCACAGTCATAGTGTATGTCAGCACGCAGCACTGCCACTGCCCCTGTCAGCACATCCACCTCCACCTGCCACACCATTGCACGTTATGTTAGAAATATATTGTTGCATGCTAACACAATTGTAACTGCTCCTGCCCCACTCTCTGGTGACAGCGCAAGCACCATCCATCTCACTTAGGGCCCTGTCTACCATGCCCGCTTCAAGCATATCGAACTGCGCTACTTTTTCATCCGCGTGCTCGTTCAACAGGGCCTTCTTGCCGTTCGGAAGATTGCGGCCGAGACCAATCGGGCCGACATCTTCACCAAGGCTCTCCTTGTGTTAACATGCTAAAGGCTTGTGTGAGAATTACATTGTAGCATGCTAAGTTTTATGTGTGCCTTGCGATCAAATGTGGTGTATAGTTGGGTTGAGACTACACCCAACATTGGGTGTAGCCTTGCAAGTTGAGGTGCCAATCCAACCCAATTGTGGTGAAGCCCCTAATTGCAACCCACTGGACCATTGGTTCCCTCACTCCCCAAAGTGGGGACAACCCAACCCAATGGGTCATAGGTTGCCCCACTTCTCCAAACATGGTCAACCCAACCCAATGGGCCATTGGTTGTCTCACTTCCCAAAGTGGAGTTAACCCAACGTATTGACCCACATGTTACCCCACTATCCCAAGTGAGGACAACCCAACCCAATGGACCATAGGTTGGCCCACTCCCCCAAGTTCCACCTGTCTCCCTTTCCCTCCTAACCTTCTCTTCCCAACTATGTATGCTTGTTTCACTTTCTAGTAAAATCATTCATTCCAATTATTTTAACACGTGCAGGGTGAGGTAGACGAACGGAAATGCAAAGATGAGCGTAAGATTGGCATAGACTGCGCAGAACGGAAGCATGGCAGAGGCGGAACAATGTGCATGCATGCATTGGTTCTTCACTCACCAGCAGCCACCCACACACAGGGTTGAGGAGTACCTCTGAGACGGCGGCACCAAAGGTGAAGTAGGAGGCGTGGGAGGGGTCTGGCTGAAAGTGCGCCTGCGCTGAGAGCGTGAGCTCCATGGCCTTGGCCTGCGCTGCCACCTCCTCCCACCTCGCCAAGTCACCCTCCTCCACCGCCACGTCATCTTCTCCTATTCGTGACTCCCCTTTAATAAGTCCGCTATCCCGCTTCACCCGCTGGCATGCCTTGGCCTGCTCGGCTGCAGCCTTGGCGGTGAGCAGCGTGGGCAGCAGCTTTTGGCAGGCGAGCAGCACGGCGGCACAGGAGGCTTCAGAAGTGGAGCTGGCAGCCGTCATTCCCGCATTGCCCATCGACAGGCTGTCGTTCTCCACCACTCTGATTCGCCACACCTCCACCCCCCACGGTTCCGATACGTTGCTGCTGCTTCCGCTGCCACCACCACTGCTGCCACCGCTGCTGCAGTTGCCGCTGCCAGTCCCGCTCCCACTCCGGCTGTTACTGCTGATACCAGCATCTGCTGTGCCGGTAGCAGTGGTGCCCCAGAGGGCGTTGAGGCCGAGGGCAGCGGCCTGGCGCAGCTTGGTGGAGAGCCCCTGCCCCATCTCCACGCCGCCCGCCTCCACCACCACCGACCCGTCGCCAAACACCGTCACGCGTGCGGGCTTGGCGAGCAGCGCCACGTGGTAGAGTGCCGGCGCCATGGCCACGCCCCGCTTGCGCCACACGTGTGCCGCGTTGAATGCCTCTACCGCTGCTGCGCGCTCGGTGTAGCCCGCAAGGGCCTTCGCCTCCCTCCACACCCGCTGTGCTATCGCTCCCTCATCCTCCTCCCCCTCCTCTTTATCCTCCCCCTCTGCTGCAGCGGGTGTGGCAGCAGCAGCAGGAGCAGGAGAATTGGCAGCAGCAGGAGCAGCAGGATTTGCAGGAGCAGGAGCAGGCGGAGGAGGAGGAGGGGGGAAGGCAGAAGGGAAGAAGTCACGGAGGGCGTGGGTGGTGATAAGGTTGCGCTCACGCACGAGCAGGGGGGGCAGCCCCAGGGCAGCAGCGACGTGGTCCATCACGCTCTCCGCCACCACCACCGCCTGCACCTCGCCTGGCGCCCTCACTGGGCTGCGCGTCGGTAGGTCCGTCCTGAGGGGCAGCAGAGGCGGGGGAGTGCGGTCAGGGAGGGGGAGTGCGGTCAGGGAGGGGGAGTGCGGTCAGGGAGGGGGAGTGCGATGAGGGAGGGGGGGTGAGGTGAGGGAGAGCACGGCACGAGAGGTGGCTGCCCGCTCCAAGACACTCTCCACAAACCGGCACGGCACGGCACGGCACGGCACGGCACGGCACGGCACAGCACGGCACCTCATGGCCTGGCCCGCACCTCGCCTGGCGCCCTCACCAGCATGTGGGCAGATCCATCGTGAAGGGCGGCGGGGGCAGGTAGGGAGAGTGCGAAAAAACATGAAAGGTTCAATGCACTCATATGACGAAACGGACAAAACGTGGTGTAAGTTATGAGGGAGAGAGGAGAGGAGATGAAACGAGAGAGAAAGTGGGAGCTAGGGGAGGGGAGGCATGGGCATGGCAGCGAGGGAGATGACAGTGCAAGTGAGAAGGACGTATATTGAGAATGGAGTGAGCAATGAGTGGCCATGTCAGAGTAACACAGGACTCTGTGATCAATCCTCAGCTAACACACCCATTCCTCAACCTCCACCTTCACCAACAAACCTCAGCCTCCCACCCATCTCCTCCCAATCCCTCCCATCGCCACCCCTCCCTTCCCCTCTTCCACACAACCCACCATCCTCCCATCTCCACCACACTCCCTCCCCCACCACCGCACCTGACCACTTTGAAGTTGATCTCCAGTGCCCCCCACGCGTACTGCACCAGAGCCGGCCCGTAGTTAGCGGCCAGCCAGCAGCTCGTGCTGGCGCTGCTGCCGCCGTTCAGCACCGCCCGCACGCGCAGTGCGTGCACGCGCCCCGTGCCGTCACACCCCACGTCGTACCGTGCGCGCCCCTCGTGCCGCCCGCCTGTGAGCGCCGTGTCGGCCTTGCGGTCCAAGGCCATGCGCACAGGGCGCTGCAGTCGCTGCGCTGCCAGCGCACACGCCACTGCCACCTGGTGGTAAGGAAGGGGGAGGGGGCGGGGGGGGGGAGTTGGTGGGGGAGGATTGGTAGGGGAAGGGGGTGAGTGGTTAGCAAAGTGGAGTAGGAAGAGGAAAGAACGTGGGAACAGTGGGCACGGAGAGTGGGGCGAGTCGCATGTTTGTCTGTGTGTGTGCCTGTATCAAACATGGTGATAGCAGGAGAGATTTCTGCCAGATCCAGCATTTGCAAGTCGTGCCTTCATTCAGCAACAACCCCTCAGATCTCATCCAGCACCCCTCAGATCTCATCCAGCACCCCTCAGATCTCATCCAGCACCCCTCAGATCTCATCCAGCACCCCTCAGATCTCATCCAGCACCCATTCCAATCCCCTCTGAGTTCCCACTGAAACCCCCCTCAATCTTCATACGACCCCCCTACACCAACCCCTTTCCGTCACCTCACATCACAAGCCCACCCCCACACCCGTCCCCTCCCCATCCCCATCCCTTTTTCATCCCCACCCGCTCCCCATCCCCGTCCCAGCCCCACCCCGCTCCCCATCACACTAACACGGCTGGCCTGAACCGTCTTGCCACCGAACGCGCCACCCAGCCGGCGGGTGACAACGCGCACGCAGGAGAGGGGCAGGCCCAGGGCGAGGGCCACGGCCTGCTGCGTGTGCTCGGGGCTCTGCGTGGCGCTGTGCACCGTCATGCTGCCCCCCTCGTCTGGTATTGCCAGCGCTGCCTGCGGCTCCAAGTAGAAATGCTGCTGTGAGCCCGACCGCACCTGGGGGCGCATGGGGGTGTGGGGGGGTGGGATGGGTGGGCCGAAGGGAAGTGGAGGGGGGAAGAAGGGAGGGGAGGGGAGGGGAGCGGAAGGTAGGGGAGGAAAGGGGAGGGGAGAGGAGGGAAGGGAAGTGCAAGGGAGGGGAGGGGAGAGCAGAGAGGGGAGGAATGGGTCCACACATGGAGCTCTCCCCATGCCGCTATCGCCCAGCTCTCACCATCGCCCGCCTCTCTCTCAGCATGGTTGCTTGCTTCCGCATGAGGCGTGCCATCCTCACCTCTCCGCTGATCTTCAATGGGCTCTTGTCAAAAGCTTCCTGGAAATTTCCTCGACGAGGCAGGCAGTTGAGGAAGGCGGGGTGGAGAGGGAGGAAGGCCCCCTCTGCCTCCGCCTGCTCAATCGTCACAAGGGGACCCCGCCTGCCCCGGCCTGCACTGGATGCATCTGTTGATACACCTTCTTCTGCTGATCCTGCTGCTCTTGCTCTTGCTGATGCTTCTTCTGCTGCTGATGCTGCTCCTGCTGCTGCTGCTGGCTGCGATGCGGCAGGCAGAGGAAAGGGGTGGTAGGAGCAGTGCACCTTGCGTGCGCCCTCCTGTGCGTGGCGGTATGAGTCTGCCACCTGGCGGATGATTCACGATTCACGGTAGGGTTGGGTTGGGTGTCATTGGTGAAGAGGGAGGGTAGGAAAACGTGGAAAGGAAGTGGCAAGAAGAATGGTTGAGATGGTGAGTCGTTGAACTCGCAAAGGAGAAAAAGCGATGAGAGAGCAGGGAGCGGGGTTCAATGTTCATAGCGCCATGTAGACCCCCCTTTGTCCCAGCGCCCCTCCAATACCCCTTGTCCGTCACCTGTCACCCACCACCCACCACCCAGCAGGGCCTTATGGCGCCCAGCACTCACCACGAGGGCCACAGGTTGGCCATGAAACTCCGTGCTGTCGTGAGCAAACAGCGTGTCCGCCGCCCCCACAAGCAGCGAGGCCACGTTGGCCCCCCCAGGCGGCAGGTGCGAGGCGTCCAGCACCGCCACCACTCCCGGGGAGGCGAGTGCAGCGCTGTAGCAGCGCGCGGTGATGCGAGCACAGGGGTGCGTGGCCACTGCAAAGGCGGCGTAGAGACACGCGGCTGGCGCTGGCATGTCGTCCACGTACCTGGCGTGGCCTGATGGGGAGGGGAGGGAAAGGAGGGAGAGGAGGCAGAGAGAAAGGGGAGAGGGCGAATGGGAGAGAGGGGGGTGACAGAGTGTGTGCGTTGAGTGTGGCGTGAGGCTGGGGCGAGGAAGGGATGCGAATGGGCGGGAGCAGACAGGTGCGGATGGCGCTTGGGAAGAACGCAAGGAGGTGGAGGGAGATACAGGGCAGGCACAAGCGATGAAGAGAGGCACAGGGGCCATGCCATGTACCTGTGGCCTGCAGGTCGGCACCCAGCTTGGGCAGCGGCAGGGCGAGAGGAGCGACGTCCGTGGTGACGCACAACACCTGCCGGCCCCTCAACACCTGCCGGCCCCTCAACACCTGCCGGCCGCACAACACCTGCCGGCCCCTCATCACCTGCCGGCCCCTCATCACCTGCCGGCCCCTCATCACCTCGTGCTGCTGCCCGCTGCTGCCATGCGCCCCATCACTGCTCTCAGCCCCTGCAGCAGCGCCGTGAGCCTCCTCAGGGCAGCGCGTGTTGCTGGCACCCACTGCGCCATCCCCATTCCCTGTGCTCTTCCCTGGCAGGTCCGCCTGAGGCAAGGTGGTGTGGGGCAGGTCGGTCCGTGGCAGGGTGGTGGTGTGGGGCAGGTCGGTCCGTGGCAGGGTGGTGGTGTGGGGCAGGTCGGTCCGTGGCAGGGTGGTGGTGTGGGGCAGGTCGGTCCGTGGCAGGGTGGTGGTGTGGGGCAGGTCGGTCCGTGGCAGGGTGGTGGTGTGGGGCAGGTCGGTCCGTGGCAGGGTGGTGGTGTGAGGCAGGTCGGTCCGTGGCAGGGTGGTGGTGTGGGGCAGGTCGGTCCGTGGCAGGGTGGTGGTGTGGGGCAGGTCGGTCCGTGGCAGGGTGGTGGTGTGGGGCAGGAGGCGCGAGAGGAAGGAGAAGAGGAACCCCACGGCCGCCTCCACGCGGTACTGCGCCCACCGCGTGCCCTCACCGGGCACCACCTCCTCCCGTACTGCCCTCACCGCCGCCAGCACGCTGCCAGGTGTCAGCACACCATTGGGTGCCAGCAGACAGGCCTCGGCGCGGCGGGCTCTGATGGCGTGCGGACCGTTGAAGGCGCCAAAGACCAGGCGGGCGGACTGGATGATGGGGGCCGGGGGATGGGGAGAGGAGGTTACAGTGGAGGAGGCGGTGGAGGAGGCGGAGGGTGGTGGAATGGAGGAGGGGGCGATGTGGAGGAGGAAGGCAGCGTTGACATAGGCATAGGCGTTGCCAGAGGGGCGGGCAGAGGCACGGAAGGAGTCAAACACGAGCTGAGGAGTGGTAGAGGAGGGCGAGGTGGGAGGGGGGGGAGAGGGCGTGGGGCAGGGCAGGAAGACAGAGTGCAGGAGAATGGTGGGAGGGAGTCGGGAGCGGTGAAGAAACGCCTCAAGTGGGAGATCCTCCCACACCCACCCATCGCTGCGTGCTGTGCTGCCTGTGAGAGATGCAGAGGCGGGGGGACCGGGAGAGGGAGTGGCGGTGCGCACAGAAGCATGGAGCGCCAGCAGCAGAGTGGCAACATCGGAGGGGAAGGCGCGGCGAGACGCAGCCAGCACAAGGTTGCCACCGATGCTGGCAGCGTTGCGCACATGCGGCCCCGCCACCCTCCTCACATGGGCTGCTACTCGCGAGAAAACTGCCGCCGCCGCCGCCACTGCTGGTGGTGATGCTGTCCCGTTGGCGTCATCCCAGCCGTGCATGACAGGGCCTCTGTAGTCTGCAGCAGCCGAGCCACCAGCGCCAACCTTCCTCGCCACGGCCTCCAGCACTGCAATCACATCCGATAGAGTCACAGCCGCACCGAACCTAATCCCCATAACACGCTCCTTCCCTGCTGCTTCACCCTCTCCACCCTCTCCACCCTCTCCACCCCCTCCCCTCTCACCCCCCTCACCGTCCTCCCCAGCAGGCCCCTCCTCCCACGCCACGTGCTGCAACTCCGGCAGTCCCTTGACGTCCACGAGAGTGACATGCGCCATGGAGTCACAGCGTGCCAGGTCAGGATACACACCTGCTGCCGTGCTGCCCGCCACCAGCTGCACCTCGCCCCACTCACTCTCACACTCGCCCCGAGGGATAGCGCCTGATCCTCCTGCTCTTTGCTCCTCCTTGCTGCTGCTCCCGCCTGCTCCTCCCTCCTCGCCTGTTCCCATCCCCTCATCACTGCTCCCTCCGTGCCTTGACTTCAGCAGCACCATTCTCAGCTCCTCTAGACTCCTGGGCGCCACCCACATCACCTTCCTGCTCCCTCTCCTCCACCCCTTCCCCGGCTGCCCCCCTGCCTCCTCCGCACTAGCTCCTGCACTGCTGCCCCCGTCACCATCACTACCGTCACCTGCCACGTCCACTTCTCCCTCCAACCCCCACTCTCCCCACAACCCACCTTCTCCCCCCACCCCTGCTTCCTCCCAGTGCTCCCACACCAGCATCTCCCCTCCCTCGCCGTTCACCCCCCTCCCTGCGCGCTCCTGCCACCGGCTGGCCTGCTGCTTTGATTCCAGCTTGAGCCATGCGGGGAAGGGCGGGTCGCAGAGGGGGTTGTAGAGGGGCAGGGGCTTGCCACGCGCACTGCACACCCCGCTGCCCTCAGCACTGCACACCCCGCTGCCCTCAGCGCTGCACTTGGTGCCCCGCTGCGCCACTGCACGTCCCTGTGCTGGCGCCTCAGCTGATGCAGCAGCGGCGAACTCGCTGAGCCCCACCACCCTGCACGCCCGCGCCCCTGCCGCAGCATGCCCAGCAGCGCACGACCCCAGCTCCTCCAGATCCATCAGCCCCGCTGCTCCACCCACTGTATCTGCACCTGCGCTGCTAGCGGGACCAGCAAAGCTCTTGCAGGCGTCAAGGATGGGGCGGTACCCCGTGCAGCGACACAGGTTGCCCGTGCAGCGACACAGGTTGCCCGTGCAGCGACACAGGTTGCCCGCCATCGCCTGCTCCGCCTCCTCCTCTGACAGCCCCTCCACCACCTCCACTCCACCACCCGCTGCCACAGGAGCAGCAGATACAGCCTCAATAAACCCCCCTTTTCGATCAACCTCAGCAGCAGCAGGGGAGCGGTGGCGGCGGAGGGCGGCATAGAGCGCGATGGCGACACCGGGCGTGCAGAAGCCACACTGCGATGCGTGGAACCCCGCCAGCCGCTGCTGCACCGCGTGGGGCACCACTGCCCGCCCGTGCTGGTAACAGCTGTGCAGGTCCCGCTGCTGCGGCTGCTGTGAAGCCACGTGGAGAGATGTGCCGTCACTTGGCCCACCCATGGCCGCGCGCTGTGATGGACCCTGGGATGTGCCCACACCGTCGCCGCTTCCCGGGGGGACCTCCTCCGCATGTGTTGGCGTCGGAGAGAGGCAGAGGCCCTCGGCAGTGGTGATGGCGGCGAGGTGCAGCGAGGCGAGCGGCAGCAGGCAGGCATTGAGAGAGCGCTCGTCGGTGGTGTGGGTGAGCGGGTTGTAGCGCGCCACCATCACTGCACATGCCCCGCACCCTCCTGATGATAGGGGCGGGGATGGGTAGGTGGAAGCAGGAAAAAGGATGGGTGGCAGCAGGCAGGCATTGAGCGAGCGGTCGTGGATGGTGTGGGTGAGAGGGTCGTAGCGCGCCACCATCACCGCACATGCTCCGCAGCCACCTGAGCATGTCTTGTCAGGGGTGGGGAGGGGTGGGTGGAAGCAGGGAAAAGGCGAAAAATCGGATTGACAGCACGTGCGCATGAGAGAAGCCATGGGCGAGCAGAGGGACAGGCGCAGCACGTGTGTGTGCGCTGTTGGGTGTCCTCAACGTGCGCGCTGCTGCGTGGGCGGGCAAGGGGGCAAGGCACACACGATGCACGACCGCGACAGCAGCCCAGGGGCGCGCAACTTCCCCGCAGCCCAGCTTGGTGCCGGTGAACGTTGTCCTGGAGCGGAGGAACTCGCTGAGCGACATGCGCGGATCCACATCGCACACCGCCACGCGCCGTCCGTTCACCGCCATCACCAGCGCCGCCGCGCGGCGGCCAGCAGCGGCCGATCTCCCACTTCCGCCATTATCCGCTGCGGTTGCACCGCGCGCCATGGCGGGGAACGGACGACGGTGCCGTGCAGGGCGGCGATACTAGCATACAGTGCGCGCGTGCTGCGCGGACTGCCGCCTGTGGACGTTCACGCTGGGTTTCCGCAGGTGGCGTACGGCTGTGGTGGCGCCCGCTCTCCCGATAGAGCGAAGGCGAGGGAGGCGAGGGGAGGTGCGGTGCAGCGCGAGCCAAGGCAGGCGCGCAGGGAGAACGGTGCTGACTGGGCGAGTATCCTGGTGTCAGATGAAGAGATTTAGAGCGGCAGAGCGTGTGAGAAGGATGGCAGTGCACGCCGTGGAGCAGCTGGATTGACCGCAGAGGCGCAGCTTCCGCCCGTCTGGGCGGGCAGGCGGATGGCGCGCTCGGCGGCTCGTAGACGTCGCGCGGAGAGCAGTGCGGGCAGAGGGCACGGCGAGGTAGCGCGAGGCGGTGACGAGGAAGGGGTGGGTTGAAGCGTTGAAGGGGTGAGTGGCTGCCAAATGGCGTCTGGACGAGACGGACTTGCGGGGCCGCGCGCACGGCGCGGCGCTGCGCTGCCCTGAGCTGCGCCTGCTGGCGCATGGCCCGGGAATGCGCCTCGAAGCGGCCGCGCGGGAATGCGCGAACGGCGAGGCGAGGACGCTTCGAAGCGGCGGCCGCTCGGGCCCGCTGGGACGGTAGCTGCCATCGTCCGTGGCGCCGCTGCTGGCAAGCACAACAGGCGCGATTCCGACGCGCGCATGGCGTGCGAGCGGTGCAGGTACAGCCTCGTAGAGAATTCTGGGGGAGAGTGAATTGCAGCCGAGGAACGGTCCTAGCCTGTCTGTCATGAATCACTCGAGGCTGTCGTAGTCCCTCGCCTCGCCGCGCCACCACTCGCGCACTCCGCGAGCTACACCCCGACCATACGCGATAGATACAACCTTGACCACTGGTATTTGAGAACCCCGTGTATAACTGTTATGAATGAACTTGCAGAGTGCGCAGTAAAACGAATAACGAGAATGGATTCATTACTGATAGGACAAAGTGACGAGGCCTAAATAGGGGAATTCCTAGCTAGGCGAAGAGGCAGGGCGAAGATGGCTCGGTGATGGTTGCGATTGGAGCGGAGGAAGACCCGGGGAGTGGTTCGGCCGACGAAATGGGCCGAACAGGTTCGTCGCGTGACCCTCGGGATGACCTCGCTAACGAGTGCCTCAGTAAGGATTTGTAAATCCTTACAATAACCTTTAGCACAAAGAAGCATCACATATATTTCATATATATTAGGTAGCTTGTCGTATTATTCACACAAATTTACAGTAAAGATATTCGTCAGCACACCAGCTCACGGCAAGACAGATTAAATCGTGTGGGCACTAGTGGGAAGCCATAGCGGCTGGTGAGAGAGCATCGAGCTTCATGTCCCACACCCATCCACTCTCAAACCGCGGGCTTGCAGCTAGCAGCGCCCCTGACCCCACTCCTGATCTCGACCCAGGCGCATGGCCATGCGATTGCACATGCCCCCTTCCATCCTCGTGCCCATGTCCGAAGCCATGGTTTCCCTCCATGTTCCCCTCCTTTGAGGGATTTGCGCCTGTTGGATTGCCGTGGGCTGGTGGTGGCGTTGCGCCGAGCAGGGAGGCGAAGTGGGGGGAGGTGAGGGGAGGGGGGTGGGAGAAGGGCGGGGTGAAGGAGGGGGTGAAGGCGGAGGTGAGGGAGGGCGTGAGGAGGGGTGCTTGAGTGGGGGTGAACAAGGATGAGCCGTGGAAGTGATACAGCAGGGGGCTCTGCTGCTGCGGCTGCTGCTGTCCGTTCTTTTCCCCGTGCTGCTGCTCGGACATTCCCTTGTGCAGTGCCGGGTCGCCTGCCCTGTCTGCTCCTCCTTCCTCACTCATGCCATGCACCCCTGCCTCCTCTTCCTCCCCTTGCTGCTGCTGCTCATTCTCCCGCACCACGCCACCTGCAGCCTCCTGCATGCTCACGCTCCTCCCCTCCACCTGCAGGCCTGCATTCCCCGCCACACGAGTCACACGCATGAACGGGCGGTGGATCTCAACGGTCATGGGTCGCTGGCTGCGGCACCCCCTCCTCTGCCTCGCCTTGCTGTGCCCGCTACTGCTGCCTCCCTTGCTCACCCGCACCCCCTGCTCTCTGCACTCCTCCCCGGCACTAGCAGCTTCCTCGTTGCTTCCTTTTTCTTCTCCCACCGGGTGCGCCCAACAGCCCTGCTCTCGCGCCCTGCACTCACCACCCTGCATGACCCTCACTCGCTTGTGCGCAAAGCCATCCGCAGTCAACCCATCGTCCACCACCCACTGCTGCTGCGCCGCCCTCTGTGCTGTCTGCTCCACTGCCATGCTCTCCTCACTCCTTGGCTGCCGCAATCCCCCCCCACCACTGGCCCCCGCACCACTGCCCCCCTCACATGTCCCTACCTCCATTCGCCGAGCCTGTGTGCTGCACTCCCCACCCCTCCCAGCCACACCACCGTCCTGATTCACCTCACACCCCCCTCCCTGTGCTCCATTCTGCCCGCCATCCCCCATTTCCCTCTCAAGGTCATGCGAGTCCCCTACAGCCTCCACACCCTCCGCCTCCCCTTCCTCCACCTCCTCCTCTCGCTCCTCCCCTTCTTCTCCCCCTTCCTCCCCCTCCTCCCCCTCCTCCCCACCCTCCTCGCCCTCCTCGCCCTCCACCGCCTGACCCGTCTGCAGGCGATTCATGCCATCCACCAGCTCTCGCTCGCATGCCTCTTCACTGCCACCGCCACCACTGTTGCCGCCCCCACTGCCACCCGCATCACTGCCATCACTCCCCACATCACCACCCCCACCCCCACTGTCCCCCAAAGCAAGCATCTCTCCATCCGCATCTCCCTTCCCCACCTCCCCGCTAGCCCCTCCCCCCTCCATTCCCCCACTCTCCCCTCTCTCCCTCATCTCGCCCAACACAAGTGGGCTGGTGACGTCAGCGCAGGGCATGATGGCGTCAGCAGCAGGAAGCGGGAACAGCGGCGTGGTGACGTCAGCAGTGACCTGGCGCAGGGCGGGCGGCATGCACTCCCGGAGGGCGGCACACATGCCACGTGGGCTGTCCAGGATGGCCTGCCACACGCGCCTCGCTTCCTGCAGCTGCTGCAGCCGCCGGTGCGACAGAGGCGGCTCCGAGGCTTGTGCTGCTGCTGCGACTGCTGCTGGAGGAGCAGGGGCGGGATGATGGGTGCTGGCGGGGGCCGTGGTGTGGGAGGGGTTGAGAGCGGGCGGTTGATGGGACGAGGAGGGGTTGGTTGGCAGCAACAGCGGCGGTTGCTGGGCTGCTGCTTCTGCTGATTCTGCTGCTGCTGCTGCTGCTGCTGCTGCTGGTTCTTTGGGCACATGCAAAAAAGGTGCAGTGGCAGTGGCAGCTTCAGCGGCTGTATCAGCATCGGCAACAGTGGTTGTTGCAGCAGCAGGGGCAAAGGAAGGGACAGTTGCGGCAGCAGCAGGGACGGCAGGAAGTGAAGGAGCGGCAGAAAAAGGGGCAGCAGCAGCAAGAGGGAGGGGAAGGATGGCAGCAGAGGCGCCTCTCAGTGCTCGCCTCCGCATCACCATCCCCATGCCCTGCCCCCTCCTCACTGCCCCTACCACCCCACTGGGCCCCACCCTGTCCGCACCAGCTGTTGCCCTACCCACAGCATCCACGCACGCCAAGCGACCCATGCCACCCAGCCCCTTCATCCCTCCCACACTCCCCACATGCCGCATGCCACCCAGCCTTGACACGTCCCCCAGGGGCCGCTTACCGCCCACCCTGCCCATGGTATCCACCCCATCTGCACCCACTGCACCAGCAGCACCAGCGGCGCTACCCACGGGGCATGATGCGGCTGGCAGCCCACCCAGCGGCCTCTTCCTGCCCACACGCCCCCTGGCGTCCATGCCGTCAGCAGCACCCACACTCCCCATGCCCGGGAACACAGCAGGCGGCAGGCAGCGCGGCGTGGGGGAGAGGGGTGAGAGGGGCAAGAGGGGCGAGCGAGCAGGCGACCACAGCAGGTGCGGACGGGTTGGAAAGAACGCCGATGGCGCTGCTGGCGCTGGTGGTGGTGGTGCCACTGCTGCGAATGATGTGGTTGCGCCTCCAGCAGCAGCAATCACAGGATGCATTAGCCCCGCTGCCTCCACTCTTGCTGCTTCCCCTTTCTCTTCTGCAGCCTCCGCTGCAGCCTCCTCCACCGCCGCCGTTGCTGCTGCTGCAGTGTGTGGCAGCAGTGGCACGGGCGAGCACAGCCCCCCAAACAGAGACCCCCCAGACAGAGACCCCCCAGACAGAGACCCCCCAGACAGAGACCCCTCCACCACTCCGTCCTGCAACCCCTTCTCCAACTCCCTCTCACAAGTCGCACCCCTCCCCTGCCCCCCTCCTCCCATATCCGCAAGTCCTTGGCCACTCACGGCCTTGGCCTTGCCATCCCCATCCATCTCCGTGCCAACCTCATCCTTTACCTGAGTCCCCATGCCCCCTCCCACCCTACCTGCGTCACCCACAGCCACGGCCACTGGCAGGTGGCGGTGCAGGGGAGACACAGTGTCGCGCTCCCTGTCCCCTCTGCACGCCCACACACCCGCCGCCAAGCACTCCCCTGCCAACCCTTGCGCTGCCTGCTGCCCGCCCTGCTGCCCGCTCTCCTCTCCTCCACGCTCTTTCTCACCACCTGCATCACCATCATCTGCTGCCACACACTCCCACTCACGCCCCCGCTCCTCATTCTCCTGCTTCTCCTTCACCTGCTCGCCCTCCTCCTCCTCCTCTATGCTCGCACAGAAGAGCGGGCGCCGGGCAGACACAGGCGTGCTCTTGCGCAGGGGTGTGTGCGAGGCGAGGGAGGAGCGCTTGGAGATGGGCGTGTGGTCGCCCATGCAGGGCGCAGCAGCGGGCGAGGCAGCAGTGGAGGGCGAGCACAGCGCGCCTGACAGGCTCTCCTCCCCATCCACCTCGCCCCCATGCTGCTGCTGCCCGTGCTGCTGTGTGCCCAACTCCTGCTCCTGCCCACGGCGCGGCTGCTGCTGCCCCCTCTCCTCACAGGCAGATGCCGCCGCAGCAGCGGCACCACCAGCGGTACCCGCACTAGCAGCCGCCCCCACAGACGAGGCATGAGGAGCAGTGGCAGCGGGCAGTGCACCTGCGCTCTGTGCGCCCGTGCCTTCATCAGCCAACGCCACGAGTATCTCCGCATCAAAGCCCGCTCCCACCGCGTCCAGATTCACTGAACCGCACGGGGAGGAGCTCTGCGGCGTGTCCAGATACGGTGGAAGCCACAAGCGTTGAAGCTCACCACCCTCCCTCGCCCCCACCTCCCTCGCCTCCTCTCCCTCCATCCCCTCTTCCCACTCCCCTTCCTCCCCCTTCTCCTCAACTCTCCCTTCTTCCACCTCCACCCCTCCAGCTCCCTCCCACTCCATGCCGCCCCCTCTGCTCCGCCCCTCCCCCGTGCCCCCGTGCAGCAGCAGCGTGCGTGCACCGTACTCACAGCAGTCAGTGCCGCGGTCTTGAGCCGATTGCACAACGTTATCTCCCTCGTTACACTCCCAAGCGTCACAAGGGCAAGGCTGGGTTCCATCCGCGTTATAAGCCAGGTTGCTACCCTTCCGGAGAGCCACGTCCCGCACACCATGTGCACTGCTGCCACACAGGGGAGACACAGCAACGCACCGCTGCTGTTGCTGCTGCTGCTGCTGCTGTTGCTGTTGCTGCTGCTGCTGCTGCTGCTGCTGCTGCTGCTGCTGCTGCTGCTGCTGCTGCTGCTGCTGCTGCTGCTGCTGCTGCTGCTGCTGCTGCTGCTGCTGCTGCTGCTGCTGCTGCTGCTGCTGCTGCTGCTGCTGCTGCTGCTGCTGCTGCTGCTGCTGCTGCTGCTGCTGCTGCTGCTGCTGCTGCTGCTGCTGCTGCTGCTGCTGCTGCTGCTGCTGCTGCTGCTGCTGCTGCTGCTGCTGCTGCTGCTGCTGCTGCTGCTGCTGCTGCTGCTGTTGCTGCTGCTGCTGCTGCTGCTGCTGCTGCTGCTGCTGCTGCTGTTGCTGCTGTTGCAGCTGCTGTGGTTGCGGCTGCAGGGGTTCATGCAGTGGCGGCAGCAGCAAGGGCGGCGCAACCCCTTGTGGCAGCACGGCAGGGCCCAACAGGGCTTTAGCCTCAGCGCACCCCGCCACACCGCCAGGCGCCTGAGAGCAGGCGAGCGCATGGGAGGGCGTGTGCAGCAGCGCAGCGTGTGTGTGGCCGTCAGGCAGCATGAGGAGCGGGCGGGTGGGTCCCCCAGGCCTGACCGTCCCGTGCCCCGCACTGCCGCCTGCCTGTGCGGCAGGTACCGGTGGGTTGCCCGCACACAGCCCCCGGCCCATGCTGCTTCCCACTGCGTTGCTCCAAGGAGTGGCACTCCCAGGTGCGGCCCCGGGCAGAGGAACAGGTAGAGGCATGGGGCGGGGCATGAGGGTTGCTGGTAGCGACACAGCAGATGGTGTTAGCGTGCTCACGGGAGCAGCGGTGGTGAGGGCGGTGTGCGCAGGCATAGTGGGGAAGCGCGGAGGGGTGGTGGCGGGCAGGACGGTGAGGGGAGTGGCGGGGGAGAAGGAGAGTGCTCTGTGCATGGTCGCCCCTCCCATGGGGTGCTGTGTGCACGCGGGTGTTGTCATGGCTGGGTATGGCGGCAGGCGCGGAAGGGGCAGGCGCATGGGGGAAGCACCCAGCACCTGCTGTGAGCTGTCTCGTGCAAACCCATTCACTCCGTTGATGTGGTCAGGCAACCCGCCAGCAGCAGCACCAGGAACCACACCGCCTGCAGAGGCCGGCCTGCATGCTTCTCCCTCAGCTCCCCTCACCTCTGCCCCAGTTGAGCCCGCCCCGGGTCTGCCAGGTCCCCCGCCCCCCCCCTGCTCCTCCTCCTCCATGCACCTGAGCGCGCTGAGCTGGTCCAGCAGCGGCGACCCCGCCACGCCTGCCACGTGGTAGTCTGAGGACTGGTGCGGGCCCCGCACTGCTGCAGGGACAGGTGTGAGGCGAGGCATGGGCGGTACGGCCGCCACAAGGGGTGCGGCAACAGCAGCAGCAGGGTGTGCGCGGGTAAGTCCAGGAGGTGTGGGGGCGAGCGAGCGAGGCACGGTGAGCAGCGAGGAGGAGGAGGCGGATGCTCTGAGGTGGGGGAAGGAGGCGAGGGGCGTGGGAGCTGTGAGGGCAAGAGCAGGCAGCGAGGGTGAGTGGAACAGCGGCGGGGAGGGCTGGAGGGGCGAGGGGTGCAGCGGCGATGTGTGCATGGTGTTGATACTGCTGCTGCCGCTCGTGGCATACGCAGCCCCATGGGAGACGGCTCTGGGGAACACCCGCGCGCCCACACTCGCCTCCGCTGCTGCTGCTGCTGCTGCTGCCGCTGGCAGCGTGGACGACCGGGCGAGGAACACAGGCGATGCTGATGCTGCTGCTGCTGATCCTGACGCCGACGCCGCTGCCACTGCTACTGCTGCGGGTGTGGTCATGGATTGACCAGCACGCAACAGCCCCTGCTCTTCCTTCTCACCCTGCTGCGCTGCCTGCCCTGTTTCCCCTTCCCCCCTTCCCTCCCCCTCCCCCTCCCCCTCCCCCGCCTCGCCATCCGCCTCACCCGCGCCACCCCCACTCACTCCTCCCCCTCCACTCCCCCCATCCCGTGCAGCGGCAGCAGCGGCCTTGACGCGGCGCTGCATGCGCTTGCGGTACGAGTTCCAGAAGTTCTTGATCGCGTTGTCCGACCGCCCCGGCATGTGCTGCGCCATGAGCGCCCACTTGTTGCCGTACCGCCGCTGCAGCTCGATCACCTGCCGCTGCTCCGCCTCGCTCAGCGGGCCGGGGCGGATGGCGGGGCTCAGGTGCTTCACCCACCGCAGCCGGCAGCTCTTGCCCGACCGCGCCAGCCCCGAGCGCTGCGCGATGGTGGTCCAGTTGCCCTCGCGGAACCGCTGCACGCACTCCATCAGCACCGCATCCTCCTCGGCTGTCCATAGCCCCTGGGGGGGGGGGGGGAGAAGGGGTGGGAGGGGGGAAGGGGATGGGCGAGGGGAGGGGGTATGGGCGTAAGCGGGAGGAGAATTCAGGGGAAGAGCTCAAGGCCTGAGCGCGAGGGGGTGGCAGTGGAGTGGCGCTGCCAGCAGTAGCGCACAGGCGGTGAATTTGAGCCACGCCAGGCGGTGAATTTGAGCCACGCCAGGCGGTGGTAACTAAGACCAGCGCACCTTCTTCAGCTCGTTATCGCCCGGCGCACCGCTGTCGCCGTCGCCCTCACCCTCGCCGTCACCACACCCGCTGTTGCTGTTACTATTGCTGCTGTCCTCCTCTGCCGCGGCGGCCCTGTCGCACGCGTCATCGTCCCTCGTGGCGTCGCCTCCCATTAGGCTACCCAATCAAACGCGCTGGGCTGTGATTGGTCTACACAACGCGCGGATTGTAAATCCCCTCAGGAAATCGCGGGGCTAGCTAACCAGAGTGCCGCTTTGTGGGGATGCGACTACGTTACTAGGCGCATTCAAGTCTAATCAAACAAAGATCCAAGGATCTAAATCCACGAGCCATCGGCGAGAGGAGAGACTGGCGGCCAGAGAGGGCCTGTCGGTCAGCTGGATTCTTCCATTCCTCGACCTTGATGTCTCGATGCCTTGATGCCTGCACTGCTTCAGTATTCGCCGCAGAGACGCTCAAAGGGTGAATCGTAGCACATGCGAGCACTCACTCGCACAGGTCGCTGCCTGCTACCCGTACGTCTGCGGGTTATGATCTTTCAATATACGTCGCGGTCCCAAGCGCAGGGCACGGAATATCTCGCCAGCACTCGTGCTAGCAGCGCGAGAGAGCATCAACTATAACGATCGCTGCGTGCCAGGGCATGGCCGGGACTCTCGAGGGTCATCGGCGGTCGCTCCGCCGGGTCAACGCCACGCGGAATTATACTGAAACGCTCGCGGCCCGCTGCCCCCTCGTGGCGCCTCAGATTCCGCGGACCTAGGAGCCTCTTGAGTCGACTCTTGAGCGGTGCAGTCCGGTTGAGTCGACTCAAGAGTCGCCTCGTGGTCCGCGGACCTTGGAGCCAACCGGAGGGTGCCCCGCTCCGCGCATCCCCATCCCCCCCACGCAATACCCGCCTGTGCGTCCCGCCCGCGCCCTCGTTTTGCGAGAAGAGCGCGGGCGAGCGCGGATGGTGTGGTCCCTCGGCGGCATGTGGATCGTCTTTCTGTCGCGCGAGGCCCACCAGGCGCGGCGCGCAGGGGGATTCGAGGCAGGGTTTGGCGGAGCGGGGAGCAGTGCATGGCGCATGGCGCATGGCGCATGGCGCGTGCATCGGTCCTCACGGCGGAAGACATGCATCAAAGAGGATGGGGGGACCGATGCACGCGCCATGCGAGGAAAGATCTACCCTGGGGGGGATGGCAGCGACAACACTGTTTCTGATTGCGCGGAAATATCTGCTGACCGAGTCGCACGAGGAAAGAGAGGTGCAGCGGATACTTGGAATAACTGTCGGGCGGACGGGAAGCAACCGTACGAAGAAAACTCGACGCTGTCGTCTGAGGCTCGGAGCACATGGGCTCGAGGGGAGGTCGGCGGGTGGAATGAGCATGTCGCGGCCTGAGACAGATGAATGCAACGCGACGCGAGTCAGTGACCATGTTGATGCCTTGCGGTTGAGGATGCGAAAACTGACGCGACGACGCTTCCTATTTCACTCTTATGGCGTAGTGCGTCGACTGTCGAGTGTGGATGGCAGGAACGGTCGGGTCAAAGAGAGCCGAGGAGCTCAACCGCCGAGATGCAGCTGGCAGCGATAACGACGGCGGCACGGATCCACCAACTGGAAGGATCAAATCAAGGATCAGTCACACATCTCACGAAGGTAGCCCAGCTGCCCCAGCCGATGCGCCATGCGGGAAAACTTCCCCAGACAGCAATGCTCCCATATAGGCGACTGCACTGACGAATTCCTGGGGTTTGGAAACCTTGTAAAATTGGCTTCACGTTTTAGGGAGCGATTTTTTTGGGTTGCGTAGCAACCCTACATATAAATGTTTTTCCAGTGCACTTTTCCTGGTACACGCTTCAAGTAAATGCCCCAAAAGAAACCAAAAAACACTCTTGAATGACGTCGCTCAAAACGTAAACCGATTGCGAACGTTCCATGCTGAAGCTGTCAAACTCATATGCTATAGTCAATGTAGGCTGTAGTGGGGTAGACAATATGGGGTACAACACTTTTAGGTTTTCCTACTTGTACCCACCTGCTTGCTAGGTCATTCATTCCTCATTTCTTCACATGGTATAGAGCAGGTTCCCTAGTGGGAACGCTTCCTTAGGCCCACCACTGAAAATCGCAATTTTTTTTTTTTTTTTCTGACCGGAGCGTGAGTCGCCCCTGCCCGAGGCGCGCCCCGTGGGCCGCCCTCTCATCGCGTCCCCTGCCCTTAGCGGCCCGTCGCGCCCTTCTAGAGGCCCGTCTCACGGCCCCTCGCGCCACCCCTAGCGCCCCCGTCGCCGCCCCCAGCGGCCCCGTCGCCGCCCTTAGCGGCCCCGTCGCCACCCCTAGCGGCCTCGTCGCCACCCTTCGCGGCCCCGTCGCCGCCCCTAGCGGCCCCGTCGCCGCCCTTTGCGGCCCTGTCGCCGCCCTTCGAGGCCCCTCGCGGCCCCTTCGCGGCCCCGTCGCCGCCCCTAGCGGCCCTGTCGCCGCCCTTCGCGGCCCCGTCGCCGCCCCTATCGGCCCCGTCGCCGCCCTTCGCGGCCCCGTCGTCGCCCCTAGCGGCCCCGTCGCCGCCCTTCGCGGCCCCGTCGCCGCCCCTCTCGGCCCCGTTGCCGCCCTTCGCAGCCCCGTCGCCGCCCCTAGCGGCCCCGTCACCGCCCTTCACGGCCCCGCGCGGCCTCTTCTCGGCCCCGTCGCCGCCCTTTGTGGCCCCGTCGCCACCCTTCCCGGCCCCTCCTCGGCTCCTCCGCCGCCAGCAGCAGCCGCCGCCAGCAGCAGCCGCCGCCGCCGCCAGCAGCAGCCGACAACAGCGGCGGCCACCACCAGCAGCAACCTTCGCCGCCGACAGCAGCGACTGCCGCCGCCACTAACAGCAGGATCTGCCGCCGCGGTCGCGGCTCTGTCCCTGCCGACGCGCCTCGGCCCTGCCCCATCGCTTGCCAGCCCCTACCTACCAGCCCTGGTGAGAGCACTACCGAGCCACGCCTACTACTGCTGCCCCTAGCCTGCTGCCACTGCTGTCATGGCTACCCCTAGAGTTCTAGTCTTTGATGCTGAGGGTCGGGCTGTTGACTTTGAGGTCTGGGTCAATGATCTACAGCTTTTCCTACAATGCGATAGGAAGGACGGTCTCTCCCTGTTCAATCTCACGTCTGGCGCCTCTACTGCCCCTGCAGCCGATGCTGACAGCACTGTTCGCTCACAGTGGGCCACACGCGATGCTGCGGCGCAAGCACTTTAGTCAGTACAAGAGTGCTAAGACCTTGTACGATGCTATAGTTGCACGCTACTCTTCCCCTGCCACTGCTGCCCTCAGCCGCCTCATGCTGCCGTACCTGTTTCCTGACCTCGCTGCCTTTCCTACTGTCGCTGACCTCGTTACGCACCTTCGCACTAGTGACACCCGCTACCGCGCTGCACTTCCTGCTGAGTTTTGCGCCAAGAACCCTCCCCCCATGTACATCACCCTCTACTACATAGTCACCCGGCTCCCTAACTCTCTTTGCTCGGTCAAGGACCACTTCCTCTCAGTTTGCCCCACCACACTCACCGTTGACCTCCTCGAGGAGCACCTCCTGGCAGCTGAGAAGAGTATAGTCGCTGTAGGAGCCTCTCGAGGTGACCCTCGTGCCCCCGTCTTTGAGGGGTGTTCCCCCTCCCCCCTTTTGCCCTCTATTGTCTCTGATGCTGCCGTCGACTTCGTTGGCACCGAGTCGGTCGACGCTGCGTCTGCCCCTAGCGGGCGACGCCGCACCGGCAAGGGCAAGGGGGGCAAGGGCGCTGGAGGGGCTTGCCGGGGCGGAGGAGGTGGCGGTGGAGGAGGCGGAGGGAGTGGGGGTGGTGGTGGGAGTGGTGGTGGGGGTGGGGGCTTCGGTGGCGGCGGTGGCAGCGGAGGCTGCGGCGGCGGTGGCGGTGGGAGCGGAGGAGGAGGCGGTGGCAGCGGTGGCGGAGGTGGCGGCGGAGGAGGTGGCGCTAGTCGGGGTGGCTGTGCGCAGCGGGGCGGCTTCGGTGATGGTCAGCGCCAGCAGGAGCAGCAACGCACTCGTGAGACCCCGCCCCCGCAGCAGCTTCGTGAGTGGTACGCTTCGCGTCAGCGGGGTGGGGGTACTGGTCCCTGTACCTACGTCCTGCGTACCGGCGACCGTACGGGTGAGCAGTGCGGGGGCCCGCACCCCACCCAGCGCTGCTTCGGCCGCCTGACGGACGCTTGGCGTCTCTAGTTTCCTGACGCCACTGAGATCCCTCGCTGGGGAGAGCTGCAGAGGTCGGGGGTTGCTATCTCTGATCTTGATTCTGATCCTATTCTTTCTGCCATGTATGCTGTGTCTACTAGTGATGAGGGTGACTGATACCTGTGTGTTCCGCCTGACCCGGGCATTGAGGCTGCTGCTCAAGGTGCTGGTGAGGCTGCTGCTCTAGGTGCTAGTGCGTCTGCTGCCCCAGGTGCTGGTGAGTCTGCTCTCTCAGGTACCATGTCGGCTCAGGCCTTACACACCTTCACCCTTGACTCGGGTGCTTCCCGCTCCGTGTTTCGAGACCGCACCACACTTGGTGAGTGGTGCTGATCTACAGGATGGGGGGGTTGACCAGTTCACTCCTGCGAGTCAGCGCGTGACCCACTGCACGTGTGCTCGGACGGGCCAACACTTGGCCACGTTCACCCGTCGGGCGGGATCGAGCCTGTACACACTGACTACTGAGTCTCCTCCGGTTGCTGAGTCTTGTCAGGTAGCTGCGTCAAGTCAAATATTTGTTGCAGCGTCTAGGTCTGGTCCTGAGTCTGCTCCCTGCTCGTGTCGTCTCCTGTCCCACCAGACTCTCCTCTGGCACCACCGCCTTAGTCACCCCTCCCTGCCTCGTCTCCGAGGCATGGCCTCCTGTGTCCTTGTCTCTAGTCTCCCCCGGTCCCTCCCTCCCCTCCCTCCGGGGCCTGCCCCTACCTGCGTTCCCTGCGTCGAGGGGCGGCAGCGCACCGCCCCTCACTCCTCCGAGTTTCCTCCGACAGAGGCTCCGCTATAGACTCTTCACATGGACGTGTGGGGCCCCGCCCGCGTCCGTGGCCAGGGTCGCGAGCGTTACTTCCTGTTGGTGGTTGACGACTACTCGCGTTACACCACGGTGTTTTCCTTGCGCAGCAAGGGTGACGTAACTGAGGTGTTGATCGACTGGATCCGCGCGGCTCGTCTCCAGCTCAGAGAGAGTTTCGGCTCGGACTTTCCTGTTCTGCGTCTGCACTCTGACAGAGGCGGGGAGTTTTCCTCTGCCCGTCTGAGAGCCTTCTGTCGTGCACAGGGCATCCGCCAGACCTTCACGCTTCCGGCCTCTCCACAGAAAAATGGGATTGCTGAGCGCCGCATTGGCATGGTCATGGACGTCGCTCATACGTCCATGTTCCATGCGGCTGCTCCCCATTTTCTGTGGTCGTTTGCGGTTCGGTACGCAGCTCATCAGATCAACCTTCAGCCCCGGGTCTCCTTGCCGGAGACCTCCCCCACCTTGAGGTGGACGGGGAAGGTTGGCGATGCGTCTGCGTTCCGTGTCTGGGGATCTCGGGCGTTTGTCCGCAACTTGTCTGCGGACAAGCTGTCCCCCCGTGCGGTTCCCTGCGTCTTCCTTGGCTTCCCCCCTGACGCGACTGGTTGGCAGTTTTACCACCCCACCTCGCGCCGTGTTCTGTCTTCCCAGAACGTCAAGTTTGACGAGTCGGTTCCTTACTACCGTCTCATCCCCTACCGCACTGCACCCCTCCCCCCGCCGCCGCTCTTCCTTGCGCGAAGTCCCCCCCCGGGAGACCCCCTCCCCCCTCAGGGTCCTGCCCCGTCAAGTCTGTCCCAGGTAGACGCAATCGAGCCTGTCGAGGTAGCTGTTGACTCTCGTACTGCTAGGGGTGCTGAGCCTGGGGGTGCTGAATCTGGGGGTGCTGAGCCTGGGGGTGCTGAGCCTGGGGGTGCTGAGTCTGGGGGTGCGGAGCCTGGGGGTACGGAGCCTGGGGGTGCTGAGCCTGGGGGTGCGGAGCCTGGGGGTACGGAGCCTGGGGGTGCTGAGCCTGGGGGTGCGGAGCCTGGGGGTGCTGGGTCTGCTCGTGTGGCCTGTGGCGGTGCTGGGTTTGGGGCCCCTTCGGGTGCCTCGTCGCGGCGGGAGCTACCCTCTCCGCAGGAGCTGCGCGAGTGGTTTGCCCGGCGCTGGAGCCGTGCTGCTGTTTCTGTTGACCCGGAGGTCGGCACTGGAGTTACTGGAGCCACTGAACCTGGAGGTGCTCGTACTGGCGGTCCTGGAGCTGCTGAGCCTGGGGGTGCTGCTGAGACTGCTGTAGCTGACAATCCTGCTGGAGCTGGCGCTGCTGGAGCTGGAGCTGCTGGGGGTGTTGGCGCTGGAGGTACTGCTGGTGCTGGTGCTTCTGAGGGTGCTGGAGTTGGCGCTGTTGGAGCTGAACGTGCTGCTTGCGCTGGTGCTGCCGCTGGGGGTACTGGTGTTGTCCCTGCTGGTTCTCGAGGCGCTACATGGCCACGGCCGTACTTCGTTCCGCTCCTTGAGCAGGATCTTCGACTCCCGCCCTCTACTGGTCCTGCTCCTCCCTTAGCGTGTCCACAGCCTGTCCAGTCGCGGTCACAGATACAGCCCACCTCCCCCCTATCTGCTCCTTCTCCCTACACTGGTCCTACTGGAGGTCTTGCTGAGCGTCGTGAGCCTGCGGCTTGTCGTGCATCGCATGTTTGTGCTGCTCGCACTAGTAGTCGTGCTCCGCATCCGCGTCCTCTTGCGGTCCCAGGCACACACCTGATGGCACTACGTCCTTCCACTGCTCCTCTACGTGTCCCGTTGTCGTCTCCTCCAGAGTCCTCTCTTCCTGTTCTTGCTTACCCTGAGTCTGACTCTCTTCGTGCTGCTAGTCCTACTGTCACGCGTCTCCTGGCCACTATAGTCACTCACCCTTCCTTTGAGTCCACTGCTGCGTCTGCTCTTGTTGCTGAGCTTGTCAACTTTGCGGCTCGCTGTCGTCTAGACTACGTTGCTAGCCTTGTTGCTGAGTCTGAGTCGGTCTGTCCTCCGTCCGTCGGGGGTGAGTGTGCTCTTAGCACGGACGTCCTTGAGGACTGGCAGGAGGAGTTCCAGTGTTTTACTGCTGCTTTGCCTCATCTTGTGTCCACGCTGATTGCCCCTGAGGGAGACCCGTATGCACCAGACATCCCGACTCCTCGATCGTACGCTGAGGCGATCAAGGGTCCCTACTCCTCTCAGTGGTAGTTAGCCATGGATGCAGAGATGGCTTCCTGGAAGTCCACAGGCACCTACGTCGACAAGGTTCCCCCACCCGGGGAGAACATCGTGAGTGGCATGTGGATTTTCAGGGTGAAGCGGCCGCCGGGTTCTCCGCCTGTCTTCAAGGCGCGTTACGTGGCTCGAGGCTTCAGTCAGCGGCAGGGAGTTGACTACTTTCAGACCTTCTCTCCCACCCCGAAGAGGACCACTCTTCGGGTGCTGCTGCACATAGCCGCTCAGCGCGACTACGAGCTTCACTCTCTTGACTTCAGCACAGCTTTTCTGCAGGGCAGCCTGCACGAGGAGATCTAGCTACGCCGCCCACCTGGCTTCACTGGGTCGTTTCCTCCTGGTACCCAGTGGAGCCTCCGGCGGCCAGTCTACAGTCTCCGCCAAGCGCCCCGTGAGTGGCACGACACACTGAGGACTACACTTGCGGCTCTTGGGTTTGCCCCTTCTAGTGCCGACCCGTCGCTGTTTCTGCGCATCGACACCTCTTTGTCGCCGTTCTACATCCTCGTGTACGTCGACGACTTGGTCTTTGCCACTGGTGACACTGCTGGACTCGCCCACGTGAAGTCCGAGCTGCAGAAGAGACACACGTGCACAAACCTGGGTGAACTGCGCAGCTACCTTGGCTTGCAGATCACCCGGGACAGAGCACGCCGCACCAGTACCCTGACTCAGTCACACATGGTGCAGCAGGTCCTTTAGCGCTTCGACTTCACGTACTCCTCGCCTCAGGCCACTCCTCTGTCTACTCGCCACTCGCTCTCAGCTCTGCCTTCGGATGAGTCCGTAGAGCCGAGTGGCCTGTACCTAGAGCTTGTTGGCTGCCTCATGTACCTGATGACCTGCACACGACCTGGCCTTGCATACCCTCTTAGCATCTTGGCACGCTATGTTGCTCCTGGGAGACACCGACCAGAGCACATGGCTGCAGTGAAGAGGGTGTTGCGCTACTTGTGCAGTACGTCGGGCATGGGGCTAGTGCTTGCAGGGCGACGTTCATTGATCCTCACAGGTCACGCAGACGCTTCTTGGGCTGACGACCAGGCTACGCAGCGGTCGTCACAGGGTTACACCTTCAGCCTTGGTTTCGGCTCTGTTTCATGGGGGTCTACCTGCTCGTCTTCTGTTCTCGGCTCCAGCTGTGAGGCTGAGATCTACGCGGGGGCCATGGCTGCATAGGAGCTACGCTGGCTCACCTACCTGCTGACTGACCTAGGAGAGCCGCCTCGTTCTCCTCCAGTTCTGTACGTAGACAGCAAGGCCATGCTGGCCTTGTGTCGGGAGCACAGACTGAAGCACAGAACAAAGCACATTGCTCTTCGCTACTTCCTTGCTCGTGAGCTGCAGCAGCGTAGTCAGCTGCGCCTTGCTTACGTGGCCTCTGAGGCCAACACTACTGATATCTTTACCAAGGCACTTCAGCCTTGTGATTATTAGCGCTTCTGTATGATGCTAGGTCTTGTGCCTACTTGGCCTCACTTGCTCACTTTTTGACCTTGCTTGTACTGTGATCTTTTAATACCTGCACTTGCTTGTTTACCTTTATATATGATCTTGGATGTGAACTGGCCTTGTGGCCTTGAACTTGTGCTCGGAATGTGTGGTGACGTTGTGATCCACCCTAAGCTTGCTTTGCTTTGCTTGACTGGTCTTGTGATCTCTTGTTCTCCCCCACTTTGCCTATGGGGGTGTGTCAAACTCATATGCTATAGTCTGTGTAGGCTGTAGTGGGGTAGACAATATGGGGTACAACACTTTAAGGTGTGCCCACCTGCTTGCTAGTTCATTCATTCCTCATTCTTCAGAGAAGCTATAAACATGTCCGACCATCCCACCATTGTCAACAAACAAGACGGATGTCATGATTTGTTGCGATATAAATTGTATGAGAATGCATTCCTGTATGCTGCAATCAGAAAGTAGATCGTGCGTATGATTATCTCAGGAA